GAGGAAGGACCTCTCCACAAGAAATCCACCGTGGCCGGCGAAGCCTTTGCAGTCGACCATGCGGTTGCTGTCTTGAAAGCTCAGAAAGGTCGGAGCCCCTGCCTTAGCCCTTCAAATTAAAAGCTAATTTGTGCGCCGTCGGCCCTCTTAAACCGTGCCGCCGATGCAGGGCGCTACCACGTCGTGGGCAACTCAGCGAAGGACTCTCGGTGGTTTGCCTGGTTCGACAACGGGCTGTGCTGGGACAAGGTGTGGCATTCAATGGCCCTCACCCACAGCTTCGCCTTCTGGCTAGAGGGCAGGAATCCTTGGAGTGTTGGCTCCTCTTCTTCCTCCGATGACAATGCTAGCGAAGATTGCAGCTCCAACAAGACATTTGCCTGGAATGTTTCTCGAGGGCAAATAAACAGACTATGTTGAGACGGATGATTTAAGACTGATTGGTTAGACGCGAGACTCGACGAGCAAGGTCCCCACCCTACACAGTAAGTGCATGCAATAGTACAGTCAATGATTCGGTGTGCTGTTGTAAAACAGTACAGCAGACAGCCACCCCACTGGATTTATTCGGGCATGTGCTTCTATCAGGCAATCGGAGTCCAAAAGAAAACAGCTTTCAGTTTTCCTGTTGACGAGTCTGTTGCAGAGGCTGCTTAGCCGGCCTGCCTGCCCGGCATTGTCATTGTTGGTGTAATAAGCAAAACCGTGGACGCAGAAAGAAGTTGAGTTTCAGAAATAATTTGAATTGACATCGACGGTTCCTTGACTCTTACAGCTGTGTGGAAATTTTACCTGTCGGTGCTATGATATACATATGACTTGAGTTGTAAATGAATCCTGTAAATGAATCTCAAGGAACACAATCTGATTATTGTGAAGACTCAAGATTTGGTTAAGCTGTCGGACAAATGACCTTGCCCGTCCAATGTCTTGTCAGTTTGAAACAGTTTGAAGGTTGTGGTGTTGCACCATCTTTCGGATTGATTCTTCGATTCGATAGGAACTTCTCGTTTCTACCTGGCCTCTGCCTCCTCGTATCAACGTCTGTTCCGTGAGAGTGTGTTCCTCCTGGCTGCTGCTCTTGCTGACTGCAGCAGTCTGGTGAATGACTCAGGTTCTGGCAGATGATACAAACCAAGAGAAGCTGAGAAGCATGCTCGTGGTTTTTCGTCCTATGAGGAAATTCATTGGACGAGCTGCTCCCCGTCTGCACAGCACATATTTACCGAATAAAAGCCCAAGACCGAACACCCATGCAAACATTTACCCATGCAAGCATTTACCCCAAAACCGAGGCCCATGAGTATCAGACCGACAGCACGGCATCCATCCGCACCGTGATCTCGCTGGCTTCCGGGAAGAGGGTCGCCAAGCTGGTGTCGTGCCAGTCCCGCAAACATTCAACCATGGATTCTCTTAGGCAGTGCCTTGCATGTTGCCTTTGGTTTCTCTGTCGGGCTTAGGGTTTGTCGCCCCCAACCCGCCCAGGCAGACGATTCAGGAGAGTGTGACAACAGAGGCTTTGCAGTACGTCGGGGCTACGAACGATGAGGAGGCACTACAGTGGCACGCTTCCATGCTCTTGAACCAGCTTGCAGGGCTGGCGGAGTTGGATGAACAACCCCGTCATTTTCCGTGGAGATGTTGCTGTGTGCTCAGTGCTCCACTCCGCCAGACCACACTCGCGGAGATGCAGTCCGAGTGGAAGTTCGTGACCAACTTCGTGGACCTGCTCCCGCCGACACACCACCTACACACACAGCTTAGCATCACAAGACATCAAGTATATCGCGATCTCATGACGAAAGCCGAGCGGCTACACCGAAATTGTATCTCTTAACTTACAACGACTAATTTCTAAAACAGTTCAAGATAAGCATTGCTCGAACTCGTGGTTGACATGGGAGTTTCGGCCGAGATCGCCTCTACCAACATCAGTTATCAGCAATAGTAACATAAATCGTTCTTGCTTGGGAATTCAACTGTATTTCGTCATCGCTAATTCTGCTATGCTACCGACTTGCCTGGTCCTGGGAATTACATTGCTGTGTAATGGAACATGGCCTCAGTCTGTCCGTTGATTACAATGACATATGTAATTTGGCCACGTTTCCCTCCAGTACTGTACCTCACCAAACTTTAAACTTTTCCGTTATTCAATTCTGGTCAATTTCAGAGGCTTGTTGTTGGTAGGGCCCGACATAGTTTTACTTTCATTGCACTACCCAGGCACTTCGACTTCGATCACAATCAGATGACCTCCGTCGTCAGCGAACCCTTTCGCATGGCAGTGAATTCTCTGTGTGGCATTACCGGCGAGAAGCCTGACAGCTTGTTGTCGTCGCTACCCAGCGAATTGGCGTTTAATGATCTTCGCGACGCTGCAAGGCGGGCGACAAAATGCGAGACCACTGCCCCGAGCAGCTTACACAGCATCTGTTTGAAATCAGCCATCAACAGGCCGGCCGGTGCAGCAGTCCTCGAGTTGCAGGACTCTGATTGGATGCAACCGTACCGCGGCAAGAGTCTCAAATCCCACATCCACCACTCACTGAAGCCCAAGGACTGCGAGCTGGGGATTAATGCGGATGGCCTGACGAGGCACAAGCAGAACAAGGCCTACACCAAGCCACACATTTTCCACGAGAGGCTGAGATTGCTGAAGGTGTTGCGTGGCTCATGGGTGAAGGCCGCGGGCGAGCTCGACGAGCGAGCCGATGCAGTGAAGGCGACCTTGAAAACGCTGTGGGTTAGCAAGTTGATGCCCCGACATTGCTTCTTGCAGTGGCGAGCTCGCCGACAAGGCGAAACAGAGCGACGAATGGTTCTTTCATCGGGCCCGCATGCGGCCTTGACTGTCGATCTCCAGCGAGTCCCGGAAGTTTTGCCCATCAGCTACACCTTCGCTGAGCCTGCCATCCGCCGAGCCCTAGTGGTGGTTGGCGACGTGGATGACGTCGAGATCGCATTGACGAAGCCTACTTTGCACCAGGGCAAGATCCTCGGTTGGGCTCAAACCACGGACTACATGAGCTTGCCGCAGTATGTCGCAGACCACACCATCTCTACGGTGCCGGCTACCTTGCTTTCGCAGCTTTGCTCCGCCCTTGGGATGAGAGGCCATGGAAAAATGGGACACCGCAGGCGGGTGGAAGCATTCTTGCGAGAGATGGGCAAGGAGGACGACTACATTCAATCAGTGCTTGATGAAATCCCGGAAAAAGAGCCCAAGCCCCGCCGCCAGGCTCGTGGGCTGTGCATTTTAATCGACACTGCAAGGAAAAACCGTTTCAAACCTTGATAGACACACATTTTTGATTAAAACTTGTTTGTGCACAGTGGTTTGAAGTTTGAAGATGAGTGACGAAATTCAATCAACCTTGCAGCCCAACAATGCTTAGGGTTTGGTTGTGTTAAAAGAAGAAATCGTGTCAGGATGGAGATGGCGAGCCTGGTGACGGTGAAGAGGACAGGCTCCACGGGCAGACGGACGATGAGAACGAGCAGGAGTTCGCGAATCATATCAACCCCGAGCCCGAGGACGACGAGCTGAATCAGGCTATGGACGGAGCGCCGGAAGAGAAGCCTGCCGAGCCCGCCGGAGTAGCCGCTGAGGCTGCAGCTGCTATGGCCGTGGAGGATCCCAGGGCCACTGGACCGATTTCGTAGTTCCCGCAATAATATGAACAATGAACATCCGAATAGTATGGTGTATTTGTGTCGCCAGGTGTGTCTCGGAGGCATACATAATCCAACAAGCAAAGAGATTGATGTTTTACAATTACAATGTGCCGCTCCTGCGATCTTGCAGGTCCGTGCTGACGGGCCGCATGTGCCAGCTGTGGCACGTGAGCGACCTGCCGAGGATCTGTTTCCACCACACTGCTCATGTTATTATGGGCACCCTCATGAGGCTTCGCCTTTCGTTCAGGCTTTCTTACCACCTGGTTTTTTGCACCAGGGTCGAAAGAGCCGGTGTGTGTCGTACAAGTCCGATGCAATGTTTGTGCAGAACGGCACGTCCCGCACGAAGCTCGAAGCAGAGCGATGTGTGCAGGCCTGGTGCTGGGCTTGGTTTGAGTCTCTGCGAGATTCAGAGAAGGAGCATTTGAGGCGCAGCAGCCCGAACGGGCCTGCCGCCAAGAGGCCACGAGTCGCATGAAATCACAAACGGGTGCTTCTACTCTAATGCACAACCTAAACACCCAAACATGTTGTAAAAACTCTCGAAGTCAGCACTGCGACTTGCGAAAGGGGTCCAAGTCGTTTGGAACCTACGTGGGGGACACACGTGGGACCAGCACCAGAAGAAAAAATGAGTTCTTTGCATGCCGGTTCAGCCTGCTCGATTACTGTTGTCATACTGCTTGTACAATCGCTATAGGGAATTTGTGGATTTGCACCAACACAGGGAGCATTTCAAAGAATGGCGCTTTGACTCTTAGATT